GAACCCATCCAACTTGAAGGAGCTGGAGCAGTTTTGCCTTTAAGAATGGGCAAAAATCCCAGTGGGTGGATGTGCCAAGCTTATAGAGACATACCCCAAGAGACTTGCAGCTGGAATTGCTTCAAAAGGTGGCTCTACATAGTATTGACTTTGGGGGGTGAATAGTTATGCACGCTCAAGTTTTCAGTTTTTTTGTCTTATTTCTTGTTTGTTTCACCCCAAAAAAATATTTATCATGTTCAAAGTGTTAGGCATGTTGTGTAAATCAAATGATACAACCCCCCAAAAAATCTATTTTAATTCCAGGTTGTAAGGCAACAAAATAGGAAAAATTCCAAGGGGGTTGAATACTTTCGCAAGCCACTGTATATAGACAGGTGTTTGCCTTTCCATATCATGTCCAATCAATTTAATTTACCACAGGTGGACTCCAATCAAGTTGTAGAAACAGCTCAAGGATGATCAATGGAAACAGGATTCACCTGAGCTCAATTTTGAGTCTCATAGCAAAGGGTCTGAATACTTATGTAAATAAGGTATTTCTGTTTGTATATTTTATGGGAATTTAATCCATTTTAGAATAAGGCTGTAACATAACAAAATGTGGAGAAAGTGAAGGGGTCTGAATACTTTCCGAATGCACTGTATGTGCTTTTTTTTTACCATGGATTTATGGCAGGGTGTGTGTGTGTGTGTTTGTGTGTGTGTGCATGAGTATGTGGAGAACACCTGATACCCAAATCATAATCCCAAAGTTATAATTGCCACTTTTCATCAGCGGGTTGTTCGTTGGCTATGCCGAAGCAGTTAAAAAGTGAAGAGGTTAGAATAATCATATTCGCTGTAGTGCCAACCCTGTGGTCTCTCAATGGTGTGGGATACCAGCCATAAAAAAGCAGCTAATTAGCAAGTGATAAAAATAGTCATAGCAATATGTGGTGGTGGATAGAACTTCACCTGGCATAATTTGAGATTCCTCCCCCTGATTCTTTCTCTCAATTACAAATTCATTAATCACCTGGTTGTGTTTGTGGTTACTTGGCAAAATTAGAACCAAAACTACAGTGGCTTTCGAAAGTATTCACCCATCTTGGCATTTTTACTATTTTGTTGCCTTATAACCTGGAATTAATGATTTTGGGGGGGGGGGGGGGGGGGGGGGGGGGATCTTTTGATTTACACAACATGCCTTCCACTTTGACTATTCAAAATACAGAACACTTGAGCATGCATAACTATTCACATCCCCAAAGTCAATACTTTGTAGAGCCACCTTTTGCAGCAATTACAGCTGCAAGTTTTTGCCCATTCTTCAAGGCAAAACTGCTCCCGCTCCGTCAAGTTGGATGGGTTCCGCTGGAGTACAGCAATCTTTAAGTTATACCACAGATTCTCAATTGGATTGAAGTCTGGGATTTGACTAGGCCATTCCAAGACATGTAAATGTTTTCCCTTAAACCACTCAAGTGTTGCTTTAGCAGTATGCTTAGGGTCATTGTCCTGCTGGAAGTTGAACCTCCGTTCCATTCTCAAATCTCTGTAAGACTGAAACAGGTTTCCCTCAAGAATTACCCTGTATTTAGCATCATCCATCATTCCTTCAATTCTGAGCAGTTTCCCAGTCCCTGCCAATGAAAAACATCCCCACAGCATGATGCTTCCATCACCATGCTTCACTGTGGGGGTGGTGTTCTCTGGGTGATGAGAGGTGTTGTATTTGCGCCAGACATAGCGTTTTCCTTGATGGCCAAAAAGCTCAATTTTAGTCTCATCAGACCAGAGTACCTTCTTCCATATGTTTGGGGAGTCTCCCACATGCCTTTTGGCGAACACCAAACGTGGTTGGTTATTTTTTTCTTGAAGCAATGGCTTTTTTCTGGCCACTCTTCCATAAAGCCAAGCTCTGTGGAGTGTATGGCTTAAAGTGGTCCTATGGACAGATACTCCAATCTCCGCTGTGGAGCTTTGCAGCTCCTTCAGGGTTATCTTTGGTCTCTTTGTTGCCTCTCTGATTAATGCCCTCATTGCCTGGTCAATGAGTTTTGGTGGGTGGCCCTCTCTTGACAGGTTTGTTGTGGTGCCATATTCTTTTCATTTTTCAATAATGGATTTAATGTTGCTTCGTGGGATGTTCAAATTCAAAATTATTCATTGTGCTGCTTGCTTGTTGGTGCCCCTTGCTTAGTGGTGTTGCAGACACTGGGGCCTTTTAGAACAGGTGTATATAAACTGAAATCATGTGACAGATCATGTGACACTTAGATTGCACATAGGTGGACTTTATTTTACTAATTGTGTGACTTCTGAAGGTAATTGGTTGCACCATATCTTATTTAGGGGCTTCATAGCAAAGGGGTTGAATACATATGTTATTTTTTAGAATTGTTTGAAACAAGTTCTGTTTTTCATTTCACTTCTCCAATTTGGACTATTTTGTGTATGTCCATTACATGAAATACTAATCAAATCCATTTAAATTACAGGTTGTAATGCAACAAAATAGGACAACGCCAAGGGGTATGAATACTTTTGCAAGGCACTGTACTATGCTTTTTATTTGTATGGTATGTGGAGCCAAATCACAGCTCTACCTTGTTGTTTCTTTTTTTATTTAGTAATTTTAGTTGTAGGAGAGCTACATTTTCATTTCAAATGGTTTAAATAGTGGTTCATTTGAATGGTTTGCAGAGTAGCTTGCATGTTGAAATAGGGTCTCCGTGTGCAGAGCCTCTGGCGTAGGAGTAATGCTCCCCGGCTATATACAGTTGAAGTCGGAAGTTTACATACACCTTAGCCAAATACATTTAAACTCAGTTTTTCACAAGCCCTGACATTTAATACTAGTAAGAAATCCCTGTCTTAGGTCAGTTAGGATCACCACTTTATTTTGAGAATGTGAAATGTCAGAATAATAGTAGAGAGAATGATTTATTTCAGTTTTTATTTATTTCATCACATTCCCAGTGGGTCAGAAGTTTACATATACTCAATTAGTATTTGGTAGCATTGCCTTTAAATTGTTTAACTCGGGTCAAACGTTTTGGGTAGCCTTCCACAAGCTTCCCACAATAAGTTGAATGAATTTTGGCCCATTCCTCCAGACAGAGCTGGTGTAACTGAGTCAGGTTTGTAGGCCTCCTTGCTCGCACAAGCTTTTTCAGTTCTGCCCACAAATTTACTATAGGTTTGAGGTCAGGGCTTTGTGATGGCCACTCCAATAATTTGAATTTGTTGTCCTTAAGCCATTTTGCCACAACTTTGGAAGTATGCTTGGGGTCATTGTCCATTTGGAAGACCCATTTGCAACCATGCTTTAACTTCCTGACTGATGTCTTGAGATGTTGCTTCAATATATCCACATAATTTTCCTTCCTCATGATGCCATATATTTTGTGAAGTGCACCAGTCCCTCCTGCAGCAAAGCACCCCCACAGCATGATGCTGCCACCCCCGTGCTTAGCGGTTGGGATGGTGTTCTTCGGCTTGCAAGCATAACGATGGTCATTATGGCCAAACAGTTATATTTTTGTTTCATCAGACCAGAGGACATTTCTCCAAAAAGTACGATCTTTGTCCCCATGTGCAGTTGCAAACCATAGTCTGGCTTTTTATGGCGGTTTTGGAGCAGTGGCTTCTTCCTTGCTGAGAAGCCTTTCAGGTTATGTCGATATAGGACTCGTTTTACTGTGGAAATAGATACTTTTGTACCTGTTTCCTCCAGCATCTTCACAAGGTCCTTTTCTGTTGTTCTGGGATTGATTTGCACTTTTAGCACCAAAGTACGGTCATCTCTAGGAGACAGAACGCGTCTCCTTCCTGAGCGGTATGACGGCTGCGTGGTCCCATGGTGTTTATACATGCGTACTATTGTTTGTAAAGATGAACATGGTACCTTCAGGCATTTGGAAATTGCTCCCAAGGATGAACCAGACTTGTGGAGGTCTACAATCTTTTTTCTGAGGTCTTGGCTAATTTATTTTGATTTTCCCATGATGTCAAGCAAAGAGGCACTGAGTTTTAAGGTAGGCCTTGAAATACATCCACAGGTACACCTAGAATTGACTCAAATGATGTCAATTAGCCTATCAGAAGCTTCTAAAGCCATGACATCATTTTCTCGAATTTTCCAAGCTGTTTAAAGGCACAGTCAACTTAGTGTATGTAAACTTCTGACCCACTGGAATTGTGATACAGTGAATTATAAGTGAAATAATCTGTCTGTAAACAATTGTTGGAAAAATGACTTGTGTTATGCACAAAGTAGATGTCCTAACCGACTTGCCAAAACGATAGTTTGTTAACAAGAAATTTGTGGAGTGGTTGAAAAACAAGTTTTAATGACTCCAACCTAACTGTATGTAAACTTCCGACTTCAACAGTACATACATATATATACATATCCTTAAAAACAAAAAAATCCCTTTATTACTTTCCAACCCTCCCTAATTGGAGTAAACTAGTGAACAACAATGCTTAGGCCTCTACTTCCAACTTATACATACTATATACATTTTATGGACACAATTTTACACTGATATTTTATACTGATAACAAGTTCGAACAGGTGCCATTAATACAAGTAACGAGTGGAGGACAGAGGAGCCTCTTAAAGAAGAAGTTACAGGTCTGTGAGAGCCAGAAATCTTGCTTGTTTGTAGGTGACCAAATACTTATTTTCCACCATAATTTGCAAATAAATTCATAAAAAATCCTACAATGTGATTTTCTGGATTTTTTCTTCTCAATTTGTCTGTCATAGTTGACGTGTACCTATGATGAGAATTACAGGTCTCTCATCTTTTTAAGTGGGAGAACTTGCACAATTGGTGGCTGACTAAATACTTTTTTCCCCCACTGTACATAGACTAGACTAGGTGAAGCGCATTGTTTGAATGACGGTGGGAGGATGGTGCGGTTTCACAGGGAATGGTTGTTCAGCTGTAGCGGGGATTCGGTCTTGTGCCTGTGTTGATATCTGGTCCGGGTCCCCGTCCCTACCTGCTGAGCTGCTGTTCAGGGGCTGCGGGCTGGAGGACATCAAACTAGATGTGTGAATGGGGTGTCCAGTGGAGGTCGGTGTTTGAAGGGGACTTTGCTTCGGGATGGGCTCCGGCACCAGGGCGAGATTGGTGAGATCTCTTGCGTTTTGCAGCACATGGTTCGAGGGGGCATGGGACCGGGCGAGGCTTCAGACGTCATTGGTCATGTGGTGGTGTTGCTTCGAGGCTATCCACGCAGCGTTTCAAACACTTAAAAGACTCCCTCTCCCCTCAGCCCTCAAGTTAAGTGGACACTTCTGATGACGTATCATGATGTATGAAGAGTGGGCACTACTGATGACGTATCATGACGTATGATGAGTTGACACTTGCAGGGCAAAGGGCGAGGGAAGAGTGAATGAGTTTTAAATGGACCCCCCTTGCCCAGAAATGTGTCTCTCGTTTGTCCTGCGATTGTGTTTTCAGTCATCATAGCGGCCGTTCTCTCTGCATGGGGCATGGGAGATGCATGTTACATCTTCAGACATTGTGGGAGGGATACACTTGGAATGCTCGTGACGTTTTTTATTTTATTATTATTTCACCTTTATTTAACCAGGTAAGCCAGTTGAGAACAAGTTCTCATTTACAACTGCGACCTGGCCAAGATAAAGCAAAGCAGTGCGATAAAAATAACAACACAGAGTTACATATGGGGTAAAACAAAACATAAAGTCAAAAATACAACAGAAAATATAAATACAGTGTGTGCAAATGTAACATGTTATGGAGGTAAGGCAATAAATAGGCTATAGTGCAAAATAATTACAATTAGTATTAACACTGGAATGATAGATGTGCAAGAGATGATGTGCAAATAGAGATACTGGGGTGCAAATGAGCAAAATAAATAACAATATGGGGATGAGGTAGTTGGGTGGGCTAATTTCAGATGGGCTGCAGCTTCAGAGATTTTTGCAATTCGTTCCAATCATTGGCAGCAGAGAACTGGAAGGAAGGTGTTGGCTTTGGGGATGACCAGTGAGATATACCGGCTGGAGCGCATACTACGGGTGGGTGTTGCTATGGTGACCAATGAGCTAAGATAAGGCTGGGATTTGCCTAGCAGTGATTTATAGATGGCCTGGAGCCAGTGGGTTTGGCGACGAATATGTAGTGAGGACCAGCCAACAAGAGCGTACAGGTCACAGTGGAGGGTAGTATAAGGGGCTTTGGTGACAAAACGGATGGCACTGTGATAGACTACATCCAATTTGCTGAGTAGAGTGTTGGAGTCAAAGTCAAGGATCGGTAGGATAGTCAGTTTTACGAAGGCATGTTTAGCAGCATGAGTGAAGGAGGCTTTGTTGGGAAATTGGAAGCCGATTCTAGATTTAACTTTGGATCGGAGATTCTTAATGTGAGTCTGGAAGGAGAGTTTACAGTCTAACCAGACACCTAGGTATTTGTAGTTGTCCACATACTCTAGGTCAGACCCGTCGAGAGAAGTGATTCTAGTCGGGTGGGCGGGTGCCAGCAGCGTTCGATTGAAGAGCAGGTATTTAGTTTTACTAGTTTTTAAGAGCAGTTGGAGGCTACTGAAGGAGTGTTGTATGGCATTGAAGCTCGTTTGGAGGTTTGTTAACACAGTGTCCAATGAAGGGCCAGATGTATACAAAATGGTGGAGGTGCTCTTATTCTCCATGGACTTTACAGTGTCCCAAAACTTTTTGGAGTTAGTGCTACAGGATGCACATTTCTCTTTGAAAAAGCTAGCCTTTGCTTTCCTAACTGGTTGTGTATATTGGTTCATAACTTCCCTGAAAAGTTTCATATCGCGGGGGCTACTTGCAATGCAGATGCCATATTGTAGTGTATTTTAGATTTTAAAGGACTTGATTTGCCCTGACAAAAAATTTGAATGAATTGTAATCCACAAAATAATAATTCACATTTCGCTGATAGACCGGACACTGGCTGGAGGCGGGAGTCAGAGCTGGTGTGTTTGGTGGCATCACTGGTAGACCGGGCATTGACTGGGGGTGGGGGACAGAGCTGGTCTGTTTGGTGGATCGCTTGTGGACTGGGCACTGACTGGGGGTGGGGGACAGAGCTGGTCTGTTTGGTGGCATCGCTAGTGGACCGGACACTGGCTAGAGGTGGGAGACGGAGCTGGTCTGTTTCGTAACATCCTTTCCCCCTTCTGATAACCAGGTGGTGAATAGCATCTCTGCATGTCTGGCAGGCATATCAGTGTGGATGTCGGATCACCACCTCAAGCTGGGCCTTGGCAGGACGGAGCTGCTCTTCCTCCCGGGGAGGGACTGCCCGCTCCATGGTCTCGCAATCACTGTTGATGGCTCCGTTGTGTCCTCCTCCCAGAGTTTGGGGAGCCTTGGCGTGACCCTGGGCGGCACCCTGTCATTCTCCGCTGGCATCGGAGCGGTGGCCCGATCCTGTAGGTTCATGCTCTACAACATTCTGACCACCTTCCGGAGACACTTGAGACCCTGCCTGTCACACCCTGGCTCTGGGGACTATATATGTTGAGCCAGGGTGTGTAGATTCTATGTGTTTGTGTTCTGTGTGGTAGATTCTAGTTGTTCTATTTCTATGTTGGCCAGAGTGGTTCTCAATCAGAGGCAAAGAGTGTCAGCTGTTGATGGTTGTCTCTGATTGGGAACCACATTTAGACAGGCTTTTTTCCCACAGTAGTTGTGGGATCTTGTTCCGTGTTGGTTGTGTTTAGACCTAGGACGTCACATTATTGTTTATTGTTTTGTTCGTGTTATCACTATTGATAATAATGTATGTTCGCATTTCACGCTGCACCTTGGTCCTCTTCCTTCGACGATCGTGACACTGCCTCTTTGGGGAATACCTGGGATGGTATGGATGTGGTCCTTCTGCCCCCTCCCCCATACCCCACCCCCCAAAAAAAATATATATATAATATTAATAATATCAATAATAATAATAATAATAAAAATAAAATATATATATATATATACAACAAATGAAAAAATAAAATATACTCTAAAAAATATTACCATGTAAGATCAATAAATAAATGAATTAAAATAATATATAAAAAAATGTAACAAATTAACAAACAATTTATTAAAATATACACAAAATATATATACAGTGGGGAAAAAAGTATTTAGTCAGCCCACCCATTATGCAAGTTCTCCCACTTAAAAAGATGAGAGAGGCCTGTAATTTTCATCATAGGTACACGTCAACTATGACAGACAAAATGAGGGAAAAAAATCCAGAAAATCACATTGTAGGATTTTTTATGAATTTATTTGCAAATTATGGTGGAAAATAAGTATTTGGTCAATAACAAAAGTTTCTCAATACTTTGTTGTATACCCATTGTTGGCAATGACACAGGTCAAACGTTTTCTGTAAGTCTTCACAAGGTCTTCGCACACTGTTGCTGGTATTTTGGCCCATTCCTCCATGCAGATCTCCTCTAGAGCAGTGATGTTTTGGGGCTGTCGCTGGGCAACATGGACTTTCAACTCCCTCCAAAGATTTTCTATGGGGTTGAGATCTGGAGACTGGCTAGGCCACTCCAGGACCTTGAAATGCTTCTTACGAAGCAACTCCTTCGTTGCCCGGGCGGTGTGTTTGGGATCATTGTCATGCTGAAAGACCCAGCCACGTTTCATCTTCAATGCCCTTGCTGATGGAAGGAGGTTTTCACTCAAAATCTCACGATACATGGCCCCATTCATTCTTTCCTTTACACGGATCAGTCGTCCTAGTCCCTTTGCAGGAAAACAGCCCCAAAGCATGACGTTTCCACCCCCATGCTTCACAGTAGGTATGGTGTTCTTTGGATGCAACTCAGCATTCTTTGTCCTCCAAACACGACGAGTTGAGTTTTTACCAAAAAGTTATATTTTGGTTTCATCTGACCATATGACATTCTCCCAATCCTCTTCTGGATCATCCAAATGCACTTTAGCAAACTTCAGACGGGCCTGAAAATGTACTGACTTAAGCAGGGGGACACGTCTCGCACTGCAGGATTTGAGTACCTGGCGGCGTAGTGTGTTACTGATGGTAGGCTTTGTTACTTACTCCCCCTGTGTGGTTCTGGGATTTTTGCTCACCGTTCTTGTGATCATTTTGACCCCACGGGGTGAGATCTTGCGTGAAGCCCCAGATAGAGGGAGATTATCAGTGGTCTTGTATGTCTTCCATTTCCTAATAATTGCTCCCACAGTTGATTTCTTCAAACCAAGCTGCTCACCTATTGCAGATTCAGTCTTCCCAGCCTGGTGCAGGTCTACAATTTTGTTTCTGGTGTCCTTTGACAGCTCTTTGGTCTTGGCCATAGTGGAGTTTGGAGTGTGACTGTTTGAGGTTGTGTACTGGTGTCTTTTATACTGATAACAAGTTCAAACAGGTGCCATTAATACAGGTAACGAGTGGAGGACAGAGGAGCCTCTTAACCCTCCCGTTGTCCTGGTATTCTGTACACACGCCGTGCCCTCCGGGTCGAACTGTCCCCCTCTCACTAAAGGCCCAGTTGGAACATGTGGGACAGTATGGGTGCGAACAGCCTTAGCAGATGTATTTGTTACACCTGGTGCACACCGTGTGTGTTTTACAGTCCTTCTTTGTGGGGCAGACCTGACACCTCTTCCTCTTACTGGGTTGTGCGGGGTTGGGTGCTTGGGCCGGTGCTGCGTGGTCCGGTGCTGCGGGGGCGTGATCCCGCCGGGGCTGATCACGATACGTAGCCCTCTGAACAGCTTTGACGAGCGCCGCAGAGGCTTCGGTGCGAGGGAGACGAGCCCTTCTTTGTATGAACGGAGTCACTAGTGCCTTTCCCAGCTGCTCGAGGAACACCCTCCTCTTGTTTCGCTTGCCAGGCATCCAAGTAGGGTTGAGCTCTCGTCATATGACAAAAGCGTTGTAAGAGGACACGTCAAGGATGTTGTGGAAGATGACCAGGGGCCAGCGCGCGGTCATCCTCCTGCAGCTGTAGGTTCCAATCACCTTGTCTAGGTTGTCCACACCTCCCTTGTTGCTGTTGTAGTCTAGGACGATGGCCGGCTTCTTGTCCTGGCGACGGCTAACGTGAGCCTCGGTGTGCAGCGTGCTCAGGAGTAAGACGTTCTTGTTTTTCTTTGCCAGGTAGGACACTAGAGCGGTGGTGGGCGTGAAGGCGAACTTGGAGGAGAAGAGGAGCCTGTCCTTTGAGGCGAGCAGCGCCTGCGGGAGCTCTGGCTTGTTCTTTCTGACTGTGCCGACCACGGTGACGTTCCTGGTCAGGAGCTGGCGCGCGAGCTCGTATGAGGTGAAGAAATTGTCGCAGGTGACGTTGTGACCCCTGAGTCCCTGCGTCAAATCGAGCACGACCCTCATCCCCTTGTTCTTCTCAGGGCCTCCGCATGTGGCCTTGCCGGTGTAGACCTGCATCTTCCAGGCGTAGCTGGATTTGGAGTCGCAGGCCACCCATGTCTTGATGCCGTATTTGGCCGGCTTGCTTGGGATATACTGGCGGAAAGGACATCGACCTGGAGGAGAGAGAGAGAGACAGAGAGAGAGAGAGAGAGAGAGAGAGAGAGAGAGAGAGAGAGAGAGAGAGAGAGAGGGAGAGAGAGAGAGAGAGAGAGAGAGAGAGAGAGAGAGAGGAGAGGAAAGACCAGAGATTAGCTTTAGCGTGTTGTGATGAGTTGTGTTGTGTTCAGTGTTGTGTTCAGTGTTGTTGTTGTGCTCTTGTACGGTGTTGTTGGCCCCGGCACACCTCTGAAAGGGACCAGTTGCTCGTCCACCGTCACGTCGGGCCCGGGGTTGTAGAGGAGCGGCAGCCTCTCGACCCACTTGTCCCAGACCTCTCTCACGGCCGCAATTTTGTCACCGCCGCCTGCTGCGCGTCTCTCGGCTCTGGTCTGGCGGTCGTCGAAGCGAAGGAGTCTCGAGTAAGCGTGAAAGACTTTGAGCGGCATGGTTGCGCGGAAAATGGTCCTTCCGCTCTCGGCGTCCCAGAGACTAGAGGCCGCTTCGCCTCGGGACCTGTACACGCCGGCTAGGATGAGCAGCCCTACGTAGGCTCTCAGGTCTGTGGAGTCCATCGCTTTTCAGCGGCCGCCGCGGTCGCGGTCTTCGTGGTCTTCGTGGTCATCGTCGTCGGCGTAGTGGCGGTGGTCGTCGTCGCCGTCGCCTCGGGCTCCGTATTTTCGAACGCCCTCCAGATTGGTCATCTCCAGGATGATGTCTTCTATCTCGGGTGTGAAAAACAAGCGAAACGTGGAGAGGATGTCGCGGGCTTGGCCTACGGCCTGCCTAGTAGGCCCGGGCCTCATGTCCTCCGGCACCTCAGCAACCGGCCTGTTACTTTTTGCCGCTGCGGCGGCCCCTCCGACGCCCCGATTGTTGTCACAGGGCACCGAGCACCATTGGATTTGGCCGTTTCTCGACACGAATGTCTCTCTTTCCACTCGAGGGATATCGTGTTGTGTTCTGGGGCTGATGCGGCGGCGGCTGCGGCAGCGGCGGAGGTCTCCTCGCTCTCCTCGCTCTCCTTCACCTTCCCCTTGTTCTTCCCCTTGTTCTTCTTGTTCTTCTTCTTCTTCTTCTTCTTCTTCTTCTTCTTCTTCTTTTCTTCTTCTTCTTGTTGGTCGTCGTCGTCGTCGTCGTCGTCGTCCTCGTCTCGTTCGTCTTCTACGCCTTGAACTTGTTCTACTTGGACATCGTCCTCGTCGTCAGCGGCGGCGGCTGCGGCGTCGTAGTCGTCGTCGTCGTCGTCCTCTGTGGTCTCCTCGTCCTCTGGGTTGTATTCCTCCCCGTCTTCTTCTTCGGACGCTTCCTCGTCCGCATCCTCGTCGCAGTCAGAGTCATTGGAAAATATCTGTTCTAGGACCTGTTTGACGGTGAATCGCACAGCACTCATAATAGCTTCGGCACCCAGGCTGGGGAAGTCCCCAAGACCTCTCTCTTCGGCACGTGTCCGGACATGCCACGGAGGCAATATTAGTAGTAGTAGTAGTAGTAGTAGTAGTAGTAGTAGTAGTAGTAGTAGTAGTAGTAGTAGTAGTAGTAGTAGTAGTAGTAGTAGTAGTAGTAGTAGTTGTTGTTGTTATTGGTGTTGGTGTTTCTTTTGTTTACGGCTTGCCTAGTACCTCTGGCTCAGAGCTTATGTCTCTAACGTGTAACCTGGGTCCGTTTGACCCCAGCTAGGACAGGACAGGACAACGCTAGGGGTTATACAGCCACTAGCACAAACACATAGGCACTGACACGTAGTCTGGGTCTTTTTGACCCGGTCAGGACAGCGGGAGGGGATATACAACCACTAGCTCTAACACCTAGGCACTGACACGTAGCCTGGGTCTTTTTGACCCGGACAGGACAGGACAGGACAGGACAGGACAACGCTAGGGGTTATACAGCAACTCGCTCTAACACTCTGACACGTAGTCTGGGTCTTTTTGACCCGGTCACGACAGCGGGAGGGGATATACAGCCACTAGCTCTAACACCTAGGCTCTGACACGTAGCCTGGGTCTTTTTGACCCGGACAGGACAGGACAGGACAACGCTAGGGGTTATACAGCCACTAGCTCAAACACCTAGGCACTGACACGTAGCCTGGGTCTGTTTGACCCGGTCAGGACAGCAGGTAGAGACATAGAGCAACTCGCTCTAACACCTAGGCTCTAACACGTAGCCTGGGTCTTTTTGACCCGGTCAGGACAGGACAGGAGGAGATATACAGCCACTCGCTCTAACACCTAGGCTCTAACACGTAGCCTGGGTCCTTTTGACCCGGACAGGACAGGACAGCGGGAGGAGATATACAGCGAGCCACTCGCTCTAACGCCTAGGCTCTAACATTATCCAAAAAAAAAATGAATATAATATAATGTATTATTTTTATGGGAGTGGTCATTGAATCCACAATATAACAGGTTCGTGTCTCACAGACAAACAACATCCATCGAAGCTATGTCGACTTTCCAGAACACAGAAAAGGCAAAGGGCGATTCTCGCTGCATCACTGCAGTGTTTGACATACACACGTCGGACTCCAGTCACGTAACTACTACTACCGACAATAACACCACCACCACCACCGTCGTCGGCACCGTGATCGGTCTGGGCATCGGAGGGTCGACTCGACTGAATCTGAGCACCATCAACTTCAACGACATCTATTCTGCGTTCAATCGAGTAGTGAACAACATACCCATACTTCTCGGGTACACGGTGAAAAGCCTCTCGGTCATGCCCAACAACAAGCTGGAGGTGAGACTATTTGTCGAACCCAAATATAGTCTGTTGAGGTATGAGCTGTGGCTCGTTCGGGTCGTAGGACAGGCTCTGCTCTTGTGGTTTTACCACGGTGCAGTGTCACACATCATGGTCACACACCGGGACCATGTGCAGAAGATACACCGTGAAGCTGTGGGATGGTGTCCCTGTGCTGCAAAGTTGACCGGTTTCGACGACAGCGAGTCTTGTACTTGTGCTTTGTACTACGACATGTGGGACATGGACGTTCGTCACAGCCACGTCCGAGACCATTTGTTGACATATCGGACATATCGGCAAATGCCATGCGACATCTCATCCGTGTGTAGCGGTGTCCACATGACAGATCTCTCAGATGAGGAACAGACACTTCTGATGAAGAAAGTCGCCTGTATATTTCAAGGCTTTTCTGTTGCCCCCAAACAACACGCCATGATGGGGATCCGTTCGAGCCTAGGCATACCTTGTGATTTCACGAAAACCCAAAATATTGTACCGCAAGTATACAAGTTGACAGACTGTCAGAATGAAACACGTGCGGAGATGTTCAATTGTCAGCAAGCCGAAGAGCAGATGACATATATTCACTTGTCGAGGAAATGGATATCTTGGGTTTCCAGCATTGTCCTCGAGTAGTGACACACACCTACAATATTACAAGGAAATCACCAGATTCTTTACAAAGTAAACATTTCACTGTAATGTCTGTACCTACAATGTGACCAATAAAAGTTGATTTAATTTCATTTGCAAGGGTCCCGTTCACAGCACACACTCGCTCTAACACTCTAACACGTAGCCTGGGTCATTTTGACCCCAGCCAGGACAGGAGAGGACAACGCTAGGGGTCATACAGCAACACGCTCTAACACATAGGCACTGACACGTAGCCTGGGTCTTTTTTTTTGACCCGGACAGGACAGCGGGAGGAGATATACAGCCACACGCTCTAACACATAGGCACTGACACGTAGCCTGGGTCGTTTTCACCCCGGACAAGAAAGGACAGGACAGGACAGGACAGGACAGCGGGACTGGATATACAGCCACTCCCTCTAACACATAGGCACTGACACGTAGCCTGGGTCTTTTTGACCCCGGACAAGACAGGACAACGCTAGGGGTTATACAGCCACTCACTCTAACACGTAGCCTGGGTCTTTTTGACCCGGACAGGACAACGGGAGGGTTATAGAAGAAGTCACAGGTCTGTGAGAGCCAGAAATCTTGCTTGTTTGTAGGTGACCAAATACTTATTTTCCACCATAATTTGCAAATAAATTCATTAAAAATCCTACAATGTGATTTTCTGGATTTTTTTTTCTCAATTTGTCTGTCATAGTTGACGTTATAACTGTGATGAAAATTACAGGCCTCTCTCATCTTTTTAAGTGGGAGAACTTGCACAATTGGTGGCTGACTAAATACTTTTTTTCCACACTGTATATATATATATATATATATATATATATATATATATATATATATATAAACAAAATAAAATGAAAAAATACAAATAAAAAATAAAAATTATACAAAATTTGGAGAGTGGTTGTCCCACTGGCTATCATGAGGTGAATGCACCAATTTCTAAGTCACTCTGGATAAGAGCGTCTGCTAAATGATGTAAATGTAATATTATTGATCGATTGACTATGACTTTTCAGATCACCCAGTAGTGCTATCTGCAGGGTTAGCTCCAGGTAAATATTGCAATCCTTCAGCCATTCCTGGACCTGTGTCCAAAAACAAGCTTCAAATGGACAATACCAAAACAAATGATCTAATGATTCTGTCTCTTCGCAGCAAAATTTTGGATAGAGCAGACATGTCCATATGTTTTTGTTAACTGCGTGTGCGACATAACTCCGCCAGTCCTACCTATGATATAATTTAAGAAGATTATACCTTTTTTATCAATTAGTATATTTGAGTTTAACCACAATATTTGTTGCATTATTTGTTCTGAAGTTACTGGAGGATTCAATTGAAATTGCAACCAACTTTCTGTGGCTTGTTTAAGAAAAAGTGATATTTGGGAGATTATTTCCTTTTCAAATAACTGAAAGTGAGAGGTTGTAATCTGACTAAAGGGAAAAAGGCCATTCTTGAACATTGGGTGACACAATCTTACTAATTTGCTAGAGAACCAGTTCGGATTTAAGTGTAACTTTTGTATGACTGAAGCTTTTAGTGATAGGTCTAATACTTGAATACTTCATCATTTCTGTCCTTATATAAATAGGCCCATTTAATTTTGTCTGGCTTGGCGTTCTAAATAAAGTGGAATATTTTTTTCTCATATAATTAAAAAAATTGTTCGCTAGGCATGGGCAAGTGTCACAACTTCCTCCGAAGCTGCCTCCTCTCCTTGTTCGGGCAGGCTTCGGCGTTCGTCGTCACCAGTCTTCTAGCCACTGCCGCTCCATATCTCATAATTCCATTTGTTTTGTCTTGTCTATTACACACACCTGGTTCATATACCCTCATTTGTTCATGTATGACTGTTCCCTCTGCCCCCTTGTCCTTGTGGGTCATTGTTTATTGTGAGGATTAGTAGCTCGGTTGAGCTCAGTGTATTTTTGGATTGCCGGGGTATTTTTTCCCCTGTGTGCCTGTTTGTTCCAGTGTGCCTGTTTTGCACACTGGACTTGTTACGCTGTATTACAGAATAAACTCTGTATACTGTGACTTACCCTCCTGCACCTGGCTCCTTCAAATCACGCATCACAGCAAGATCATAAGCAAATAGGTATAGTGGGATAATACTAAAGAGTTAATCAGGGTGATTTTTCCACAAATTTACAGGTATTTACCTTTCCATGGTAGCAATATCCTATCTATATTTGCTAACTTTCTGTTAACATTTATTGGAGTGAGATCATTTATTTCATTTGGGATATGTATTCCGAGTATATCACATCACAATCAGACCATTTTATTGGTAAACTACATGGTAATGTAAAAATTGTATTTTTTTGTGATCCAATACATAATATACTACATTTATCATAATTTGGTTGTAATCCAGTGAGGTTAGAAAATGTATCTAGATCCTTTATGAGAATGTGGAGGTGATTCAAGTTGTGGATTAAAAAGAAAACATGAATCATCAGCGTACAATTACACCTTTGTTTTTAAGCCCTGGATTTCTAATCCCTTGATATTATTGTTGGATCTGATTTTAATAGTTAACATTTCGATGGCCATAATAAATAGATATGCCGATAATGGACAACCTTGTTTCACTCCTCTTGACAGTTTAAAACTTTCAAAGAAATAGCCATTATTTACTATTTTACACCTAGGGTTACTATGAATGATTTTAACCCATTGTATAAGAGATTCTCCAAAATTGAAATGCTCCAGGCATTTATATATAAACCCCTGTCATTCTTTATCAAATGCCTTTTCAAAGTCTGCTATGAATAGCAGGCCTGGATTCCAATATTTTTCATAGTGTTCTATTGTTTCCAGAACTTGCCTTATATTATCTCCAATGTATCGTCCATGTAAAAAACCTGTCTGATTAGAATTAATAATGTCAGACAAAACCTTTTTATTCTATGCGCTATACATTTTGCCAGAATTTTTGCATCACAATACTGAAGTGTAAGGGGCCTCCAATTTTTTTAAAGGACTGGATGTTTATATTTTCCACTTGTATCCTGTTCCAGTAATAATGAAATCAAACCTTCTTCTTGAGTGTCTGATAATCTACCATTTACATAGGAGTAGTTAAAACATGCTAATAACGCTCCTCTTAGTATATCAAAAAAGGTTTGGTTTACCTCGACTGGTATGCCATCCAACCCTGGAGTTTTCCCGGACTTAAAGTCTTTAATTGCATCCAGAAGTTCCTCCTCTGTAATTTCACCTTCACATGAGTCTTTCTGTTTGGCTGTTAATTTTACATTATCAATAGAAACAAAATCTCTTGAATTAGCTTCATTTAGAGAAGATGGAGGCGACTGAAATGAAAACATATGCTTAAAGTACTTCACTTTCTCCTTCAAAATATAATTTGGTGAATCATGGGTGACTCTATCATTTGTAATCAGTTTCAGTAAATTCTTTTTGGTAGCATTTCTATGTTGAATATTAAAGAATAATTTGCTGCATTTTTCCCCATATTCCATCCAGTTAGCTTTATTTTTATAATACATTACACTTGATCTTTCTTAAATAAGTTTCTCAATTTCTTTTTGTTTTTCCTCTAATTTATTCTGAGCCTCTATGTTACAGTTTTTATTGCTATCTATCTGTTCTGTTAGACCTTCTATTTCCTTTGTTAGTACAGACTCTTTTGACCTAAATTGCTTTTGTTTTCGAGATGAGTACTGAATTGTATGGCCTCTACAGGCACATTTAAAAGTGTCCAATACAATAAGGGGATTTGCTGTACCTATGCTATGTCGGAAAAAATATGTTATAAATTCCTCTGTCCCAGTTAAAAACAAGTTATCAAACTATAGGCTTTGATTACATTTCCAATATTCTCGCCCACGTGGAAATTCAGTAAGAGTAATGTATATGCCAATTATATGATGGTCCGACCGCATTCTGTCCCCTATCAACACTTTTTAAACTTTTGATGCCAACGAGAATGACATAAGAAATAAGTCAAGACGACTAGCTTGATTGAGTCTCCGCCATGTATATCTCACTAGGTCAGGATATTTATGCCTCCATATGTCTACTAGTTCTAATGTATCCATGACATTCGCCATTTCCTTAAGAGCATGAGTGTGATAGTTTGTAGTGTGATTTCCTTTACGGTCCATTGAGCTATTTAAAACAGTATTATAATCTCCCACCATAATAATAGAGTCTTGAATTGCTTGTCAAAGAAGTGTGGATCATCATTATTTGGTCCGTAAATGTTAATGAGCCAAATCTG